TTAAGCGTAGCGATATCGTTGTCCGGTTTCGTGTGGACCTGCGAAACCTGGCCGTACGACTCCCAAATTCGGTCGGCTGTATCGGCCAGTTTGGGTAAAGGTGCATCCTCACTAGCGCAGAGGATGTGTAGCATCTCGCGCGGAAGTCGTTGCAACCACATTTCACGAAGAAAAGAATCATCTATCGAAGTGGGTTTAGCTAGGCTCTGCATTTTTCGAAGCAGCTGAGACGGCTTAAGATCGCCAAGATCGGTTTCGTTCGGGAGTTTCGTAACTCGTTGTCGATCGGATAAGCCTGTTCTTCTCAGAACAGCTGTCTTGACCGCATCGTAAGTCTTTTGGTCGACAGGAAGATCTAGAATGTCATCAATGTCATCGACGACATTTAGCGGAAGCGCGGAAACGACAAGGTGGAACTTGGTCTTTTCGGACCTAATACCACGCAAAGAAAATTGCGACTCTAGCTGACCAAACCAAGACTTAGGATTAGTCTCGCAAAAAAGTGCGATAGGAAGCGTAACTGTGCCGATCTGAACGTCAGAATCTACACGATCAATTTCCATAGCGAGCAAAATAGCGAGCCAGCAAGACTAAATCGGAAAATGAAAAGTGAAAATCAGACGGGTTAGGGAAAAAATGTGGCCAAATCTGAAAAAGGGTTAGCGAAAACTCACCGGATAATGACCAAAATTCGGGGTCACCAATAAAGCGCGATGCGGGATCGGTACGCTTTAAAACCAATACGCGAAAATAAGGCCAACCTCCGATGAGTGGAGAACACCAAAAGTAACGCTAGGAAAAATTTATTAAGTGGGCGAAAGGCTATCTAGTGCTAAAAATAAGGCACCGAAAGATAGTCAGCTAGGGAAAGGTGTGGTCGCGTGCGCGGAGAGCAAAGATGGCCGCGGAGCCGAGGAGCGTCGCGCCGTTCGAAGGCGGATGCTATCTGACTCAAAAAAACGCGAGGAACGTTCAAACAGGCGAGCGGCTATTTTGCTATGTACATCGAGAAAATATAATTTTGTGATTTTGTAATATTTTACGCAGCATGCGGCAGCCAAACAGGGGAATCTCCAGGTCACTACAGTACAGATGTAGTCCGTAGCTTGGACCCGCCTGGCCGAAATATTGAATGTAGTGCATCCTCACGGAATGCGAGCTGTAGAGACAAGAAGCAGATCATTTAGGTGGTGTAAGTTGTTGAGGAACTAGTGCGATGAAGTTGTGTACACAATGCGGGTCAGGTGAGTTAAGCTTGAGGAAAAAACTGTACCAATAGTTTGAGCATAGTGGCATGTCGCTGATCCGATATTTGGACGTAGTCGTACGCAGGCAGGTATATGCGAAGAATTTGTGAAATTTGTTACCAGCCAACTTTCCAACCGGGGGTTAGGGCGGGAAGTTTATTGAGTAGCGAGTCACCTGCGCCACGGCGCAGTGTTGTTAAACAGACATTAGTGGCTTTTTGTAGAGAGAACGACTGCCAGTCGAAAACCCGCCATGTCCTGGAACACCGCTGACTGCTGTTCAGCTTGTTAGCGTCATCAAGTGTAGAGTTACTAAAGGGTTACCATCAACAATGTTTAGTTTAAATTTGGGTGGAAAATTGAGGATGCACTGACATGGATGGATCCAGCTACGATCCCAAAAAGCTGGACTAAAGCTTTAGGATTTGTAAACATTGAAACGAAAAGGGTTTCGTAAAAAGGTTCCTTCAGAACTCATATCAACTGACGTAGCTTTTATGGCTAAACGATATATCGGGGAATGTGCACGACATCCCGCGTACGTATTCCAGGTTGGAGGGAGTACATGGTCTCATTGAGCACAGAAGTTGCTGTGGCAAAATGCCTGTCGCTCTAATATTAAAATACCGAGATATACACGGCCGATAATATAAAGATAGTGTTTGGCCAAAAAGGCGACGGCCGATTTAAAGTCTTCGCCACAGTCGTAAATATATTTTTAGCGCGTTAATCTTGCGTTATATGTCCGGTCCAAATCTAAACGACCAACCATTAGCGTTCAGAAGAACACACGAAAACTAGCTAGGAACAATATTTATTGAAAGGTCGCAAAGATAGCTGAGGCTAAACGTGGGGCACACGAGGAGAGATTGCAAGCGTGGATGCAGTTGGGCCTCTATTGCGTGGACCGCATTCGAGTCTCGCGGGCCAAAAGCAGACATCGTATTCGTGATTCAAATAAACTGGAACAACTTTCCAAAAGGCAAGCCGCCTAATTTCCTATTACATAAGAAAGTTATACCTTTAATATATTTCAGAACAAAGTACGCCGTCATATGGAGAAACTTCAGATAAATAGAAATAAATTAGGCCTGCAGGGATTAGCGGGTTAAAGATGGAAGCGTCTAGATTAAGCTATGGTAAGTGAGTCAGGCGGGCTCGCGATATAAAGTATGTTATTTTAGTTATGCCGAGCCTAAAAGGTTTACAGTTTTATAGTCTAAAAGAGTTAAAGGCATATATACTAGGGCAAATTAACGAGAGCTGGTTCTCCGGGTGTGCAAGAAATGCCGAAAGGGAGCGCGACAAGCAGGTGGCTGAGTCGAGATAGGAGAAGCTTTACAGATAGAAACCGTGAGAGTGAACGCGGCTCTCGAAGTAATAAGGACAGAGAGTTAAGTCTCCCGAATAATGACCGGATACGTCACTAAAATCGGAGAGGAGACCGATCAGTCGAGACTGGATTAATCGGCGCAAAAAGTTGACTCGAGCCGTAAATTTGGGAAAACAAATGGACAGGTAAGAGGTAAAAGTGGCCATGTTCACATAGGGTGAACAAATCCAGCAGTCTATCGAGGAGAGGGAGAGAAGTAGACTGACGAGAGCAATCGAAATGTTAACATATCGCAACCTCTGTCTTCTTACTGCATTAATGAAGAGACATCTTTGTGTCTACAAGGCATAGACGGTTAACATCCCGGTAGTCAGGAAGAAGTCAAAGATAAGCAGACTGGTCGAGTATAAGTAGGTTAGGGCAGGGAACTGAGTGTTGACTCTCCGATTGATGAATGAATGAAAACAGAGAGCGCAGCTACGAAATGGCAGGGTCGGGGTGGAAAAAGCTTTAATGATAAGGTGTGGTGAAACCAACTAAAACGAAGAGCTGGAAGAAGACCCCAAGCATGGTTTTCAAATGTTTCTAATTAATACACAGTCTTTTCGAAGGATTAACTGCCGAGGTTTTTGAGAAGCTGTTCTCCGCTTTACTTTAGCTTTATTTGGAATATGAAGTTTAGGCTTGCACGTACTGGCTGGTTCGGGACGATACGGAGCTCAGGCGAGCTTTGCTAGTAGATATCAAGTTGCTCAAGGGGATACGAGATCCTTCGTACCCCGAGCGTTTACTTAGCTTAGATATGCATTCATTGTAATACCGACGGCTTCGAGGAGACTTCAAGATAATATATTGCATTTTCACAGGGTTGGAAGGAATGGAAGGTAGCTGGCTAATTGACCCGGCTAGGTTACATTGTATTTGCAGTCATCCCATGAAGCGACACTAGCCTCGTTCCGACCGGATCAGAAAGGAAACTTCGTTATCGCCTGGAGTTATCGAATGCTGGATCAGGCTTCTAGAAAGTATAATCAGTGAGCCCAATGGGAGAGGATTTGAGCGGCAGTCAGCCTCACTTTAATGGCATTAATGAACTTTCCCTTCTCAGGACTAAATCCATTTCCGACCTAGGAGAGGTATCCTTTGCTTCTACTCACTCTTTCGTGTCATCCTTCATTTAAATCTCTTTCCTTCCTCTTTGCGTTTCACCTTCTTTCCATCACTTTCGTATTTACGTAACCTGCAAATCGGGTACGACTATTGAAGGGAAGATAGGCGGTACTTTGTTGGCGATGGTAAGGTTTGGGGGCTTCATTTTAGTTACACCAGGACCTCGTAGCACTCTAACATTTCCTGTCCCAACGATCCGCTCACAAAGGAACACTCAAGCGTTGACTACCGTTCCAGTCCCATTTGAAACTGAATGCTTTCACCTGAAAGCTTTGCTATTGTTGAAATAGAAATATCTATAAATAGATAAATAAATAAATAAATAAATGGTATATTCTCTATAACAACTACCGAGTAGCGCAACGCAAAACTTGCGCTGTGGTGAAATCCTGCCGCAACCAACATTTAGTGTTAAAGTGAGCTGTTTGCACAATATTTCGCCCACGAATGTGAATGGTTTTCACCGAGGACTGCAGCGTGGCGATTTCTTGGAAGTTGAATAAGCCGATCCACAAATAGATGTGACGAATTTGCTGAAAATCCAGCTCTCAGTGCCTCGACAACGAAGCAGATAAGGAATAGGGGTCAAGGCTATAAGTACAGGCTGGGTAGCCCGCTATGAACCTTTTCACCGTAATGAGTGGGTTACTTATCGTTGCTATTGACCTGAGCATTCCTGAGGAGGTCGGCGCCTAACAGTCAAGCAAAATGACTCCCAAGTTAGTACGTTGTTCAGCGTGGGGTGAATCTAATTAGGGTCAGGTGTTGTGATCGCTGGTAGCGGTGCACTGCTGTTAGCTAACATATGCCAGCAGTTGAAGGTTGCGCGTTGGAAGACACAAAAGGTTGATTGGTCAGCAAAACATCTCACGCACTCTGGCATCAGCATGTTCGACACCCACGAAATCACCACTGTCGTCCGAAGTAGACGCCCTACGCAATCATAGGTTAATAGTGAGTAAAACTGTTTGCAATGTTGGGTGGAGTATGAGTGAAAGGACTCCATTGCCAGGAAGCAAAGCAGTGAACAGTCGAACACCATTTAAGTTCATATATAATTGTTGTCGCTACTTGGATATAACCAACATTTTAAGATAAAGTATTGCTAACAGCCTTCAATAATTATACTTTTAGTCAGATAAATCACCACTACGCACCGGCTCTATTTCAAGGCGTAACAACGCGGTACCTGGCACCGTTCAGTTACACAACTGCGGGGACACTTAAATTGGTGCCACATCGTGTTCTGTAGTACAGAATAGCGCTGTCTCCATGATACTACTTGCAATTAGGTGATCAGTTTATTTTTAATTATAGGAAGCCATTTATATCTACCAGGTTAAGCACTCCAATAGAAAGGTTACAGCAAACATTATTGACCCAATTGGGTCTTCGAAACCAAGCGCCCAAAAATCATTGTTTCTTCATTTTCAGAAAAGGGAATATGCAACAATGTAGGGCTGTATATAAACGAAGAACGCAAACTATTGATAGGAAACATGAGATTGCTACGTTAACCTGTACTGCAATGCTCCCTCCTGACAAGTATTTTTCGACCCTGTGCAGTCAAACGCTCAACTCGGTACCTGGAATGTCGCTGCAACTGGGACTTGCGGAAAATAATGCATCTTCGTTCACCGTTCTTTTACCCATGAGAAATTACGACAGCAAAGTAAAGTCTATACATCGAATATAATGGAGGTACATAACAAAACCGACTGCAGGAAAACAATAATCCGCAAACATGTTAGTGTAGTTGCGTAGACGTAATACATTGTAGGTTATAAGTGGCTCTATTGGCCCTATATATATGCCTACCGGTGTTCATATTGCATTTGTTTATCAGGTATGTTTTGATACTATGAATGCAACTCTCATATCAAACGCACACTAGTGCCAGTTTGAGAACTCACTGCTATCTACCTTATATAATGCAAAACTAATATATATATATATATATATATACAATATGCATATGATGGTTTCTGTAGGTATCCCATGTTTGATGCGTAGCCGAACTTAGTAAGTGTATTATGATTAGATTTCCATTACAGATAGGGCATTTAGTTTTTATTATACAACGCTGCTCGCAGTCGTCCTTACTCTTACTCCGCTTAGTGCACAGATGCGTCTTGTAATAATGTACCCGATATCTTACATAGACTTCACTAAGCGTGGACAAGAGTGTCGAATATTAATCGGATTTTTAACTAAATATGTAAACAGGTGTGCATCCCATTTCTCGATAACATGAGAGAATTTAATTGGTAATATCTAAGTGACACTCGAACGATTTTCTACGGCATTTTGGGTGCAAGCAGCTTGACCAAGTTAACTCTTTGAGTCCTGAATTAATTCACTTATAGCTTGACATGAACCACAAAATGTTAATACACACGCTGTGCAGCAAAGTATCGGAGTTGTGGCATTCTTGTTGATAGAAGGCTACTGTATCTATCCTTGCTGGTACCCGCAGGAATGACGCTTGCACCGAAACAGTATTACAATTTAAACAAAGCAGTACTTATAAGTACCACTAGGACACAAATGGTTAGGATAGTACCGTAACAATTGGAAAATCACGCAAATCACTCCTCTGTATATCCTTGGACAGTAATTGATAGCGCAATTTGAAGTAAAAGTGCAGAGGGACGGTTCGAAATCTCTATCGGAGCTTCGGGACCTCTCCTACACTCATCGACCTAAGACTTTGAACTTGTTCGCCATGGAATACGACTGCCGTCGCGGAGGTTTCCTTTACGCCAGACGCATCCTAAGGGGAGAGCTTGGAAGTGAGCTGCAGCAGTTCTTCCATCGCAGTGTGGACAGCTCGACACGTGGCCACAAGTGGATATTAGTTAAAGCGAGGACACTTCGCACCCGTCCGCAAGTTGCTCTATCTTCCAGTGGTAAATGGTGAGAACAATCTGCCGAAACACATCATTGACTCAGAGGAAAGTTTCAAACTATTGTTAAACACCCATCTAACTGACACGGCAGCATCCTGCTGCTCTTACTCGAAAGCTGACGATCGCCGGCGGAGTACCGTTTCCCGACAGCAAGCACCCGCGTTGCGATGATTGGAAACCGATGGAGCTGACAAGGGGTCACACACCTGCTCTCAATATTCCAATGTAATTCAACCTATGAATGCCACATCCCGGCTAACCGCCCAGATGGACGGCCAACCGTTCAGCCAGCCATTGTTTCTCATTCGCAGCGGCAAAAATAAATAATATGAGGAATGCCCAGATAAACTGCTAAATATTATTATTCATAATTACCACTAAGGGAATTTATATGACTTTACTTTTAAATGGAATCGTACTTTCCGTCAATAAACGATGAATTTATACGGGCTAAAGCGCACTGCTTTACAAATCCGTTGGCACATTTGGTGAGGTTATTGAAAAATAATAAAACAGTATTACATATAAAAAGAGGGACCTAGGTTTGTTATGCCTTAGTCCTGCAACACGCTTTGTTTCACAGTACCCTTAGATAAATGAATAAATCCAAGGTACATTCCAGGAGTAAGATGGAGACATAGTGCTGAGTAACAAAGTGTACGTGGATGAGTGCGTCATCCAACCGTCTTTTAAACGTTGTTAGTGTTGGTGCCTGGGGCAATCTAAGTCATTCCGAACCAGCCCACCCAGATCACGTTCGAGGGAAGATTCCTGCAGTATATGCGTTTCAAACATATATGAGTAGTTGATATTATGTCCTATAAAGAATATCTTGCATTTACGTTGAAATGCAGTAAACTTTGGATTGACCACTGATGTACTGTGTCCAGGTCACTTTGAAGCAGATGCTAATCGGCATTCACCCAAATCCAGCTCCATATCTTGATGTCGTCGACAAACAATAGGAAGTTTAAAGCGATTTCCTGTGCGGGAGCAATAATAAACACCAAAAGCCATCGCGGACCTAAAACTGAATTTTGCGGCACACTGCACTGCACTTGTATGGGATCCTATAGTAGTGAACATGAAACATTTACACTTTCAGTATACTCCGACATTGGATTTTATCCTCGTTTATATCTTCCGATCGTCCCTTTGTTCCCTTTCGAATTCTCTGAATTTGCACGCCACCTTGCTCTGTGCTCTTGCTAATTTTCTGTTTGTTCATTGCAGCTTTACGATACACGTTGAGCTCGACTACCTACTGAATAATTGGTATCCGTATTGGTTCCTACTAGTTCTCGTTGCAACCAGTACGTGAGTTCCGCTCTACAGCTACGAACTCTGATCACTAATTGCCGTTGAAGGAGAAAGTTGGCGCTGTAGCTTAGAAGAGGGACACCGATTCCGTAATACTGGTATTTGGAGAGGAGTATCCCATGATCTAGATGATCGAATGCCTACTACAAATCCTTATAAACCATATCAACGTCCTCTGCTGCGTCAGCTGACCATCCAACTTCTCCGTGCGATTATAAATTCGTTGTGCACAATCGATGTCGACGGAAGCCTGCTACTCAGGAGCAGTAATGTTGCAGTTTTCCAGATAGCACAACAACGTATCGGCAACGATGGATTCCATGAACTTGAATAGTAGAAGGAGAAAAGATTCTGGGCGGTGGTTTAAAGCCTCAGTTTTGGTTCCGTCTTCGTGAAGCAGAGTTATTATTCCAAGCTTCCCATGGCCGAAACCTAGTTCTGGTCCAAGCGGCGCTGGAAGAAAAGTCACAGATTCTACCAGTTGTCTTGCCGCTTCTTCCAATGCTTCTAGACGAGTGGTAACGACACTTAATGAGCTATGTTTGCGCAACGACATCAACTTTTGAATACAGCTTTAGAGGCAAGAGATATGGGTGAGTCTTGGCGGCGGGGCGAAAAAGCTGGAAGATCGCTTGATAGCAGGACCCTCTGAAATGTAGAGGTATATTGCCCCGCTGCGCGTTTGCTACTTCTGTAGCTGTTCTTGTTTGTTATCAGCCGTCATGAGTAGAGGGAATCTCTGCTTTGCCTTCCGTAGGCCACAGTCGTGCTTGTACAGCAGTTTATGGTTAGTGCTGAAGATTTCAGCGATATTCTGCTGACTTTCGGCTTTATCTTCGCTGAACAGTTAAGTGAAGCAGTTACGTTGGACTATGTAGTTGTCCCAAGTTTCTGGCGTTAGAGCCAATATATACGCCAGCCATGCTGCGTTGCGTATTAACATACATTTCCGAGTGTTGCTCCTAACGAAAGACACTGATTTAGACCCATTGCAAACTCTTGTCTCTGAAGGTTCCGTAATCAGCCGAATGACTTTGTTGAAAAACTCGAATCAAGCGACCTCCGGGGGCTCTTCGGTAAGAAACGGCCAGGTTGTGGTGCTAACGAGTTTGGCTAGCCAATCGTATTTTGTGATGATTCGCATCACCTTACAGTACTCATTCCAATATTCCGCATAGAAGACGAAGTTGAAAACATAGACTGCATGCTCACTTCAACCCAACGGGAAGTCTACAACCAACACATCAATCATGTGATCCTTAGTGTTGATCACAAGATCCAGCACAGATAGTTTGTAACTAGTTCTGAACCGTGGACAAATTGACGTGTTTGTAAAGCGGAACAGTCGTTACGAGCTCCTACAGATCGGCTTTGAATTGTTCTCCGGTTAGGACATGGGTTTCTATAACAATGTACGTGGAAAGCACCATGATACAGATGTAAATGTATTTCCCTTTAGAACAGTCGCAAAGCGACAGTCTGTTTCGGATATAAAGATAGATGGCGGTGCAACAAGGCTATAAGTCAAGTGTCTGTCTTTAACTGCAGGTCGCACCAAAGAGAATTAGGGAACTGCGAGTCTGAATCCCCCAGGACCTCAAAAGGTAGGTCGCTTCGGTAATGCACAAATACCTATCATAAATTTGTACGCATGAGTGACCGGTTAAGCGCCCTGAAAGGCCGTTTTCTTGTCTTCGGCCGTCCAAGTGAGACAAATCCGGTACGAATTTCGGCCACTTAGAAAGCTTCAGATGTAGCCTTACGTCTTCAGTTTTATGGATTCACAATTTGGAAATCGATTTCCCTATTAGTATAGATGGTACGTGCAGCCCGGAAAATGCATTCATAATATACGTTAAGGCCGTGCAGAAAACTTTTCCCAGTGACAACAATTCGTGCCAAATTTATCTGGTTGAGACGGACGGCGGCATAAAAAGCTGCTACTCGGGGTGCTCCAACAGTTACCAAAGTAAACATCTCTCAATCACTCGTGTTATGCCGGCCGTTACTGCCAACATTTCCTGCGCAGCAGTCCCTGGCGGGCGGGGTACATGAAGTAAGAAAGAGTCAATAGTAAAATCAGAAAACAAGAGTAGGAATGTGAACTAAATAATGGTGGTATCGAGGCATATGTGAAACTGAAAAAAACAGGAGAAAGCTGACAATATAAGTTGGATAGATGGGAAAGATTTGTTATTATCACCCAAGAGCATCTAACTGACGCTGGAAACCTTTGACCGTAAGTTTCCTGTGAAGAGCTGCCACAGATTCGACACTGTTACATAAAATAACGCTGCTTCCGTAAAAAAGCACATCGACGGCGCGTATTCATTCCACAAGCTTTTTAATCTACGAATGGTTCGTTCCGTTTGACAGTAAGTGCCACTGTGCGTTTTCGTTAAAGTAACTGGGATAATCGGGCTTGGAGCTTTGTGCTCCATCCCCAGCACCTTCACGATTCTAGTCCAGTCA